CTCAATTAGAGATATTAGACACATATAGTTTAATTAATCTGTGAAAATTGGTTTTTTGGATATCAGATATATTAGATTATGTTTTCATGTACTAGATATATCTTTTAGTTTTAAACAAGTATTAAATATCTTTAAAAGATAGTTTAAAGTTTGTTTATCTAGATGTTTTAGCATTTTATTAGATATGAGTTGTAGCTCTATTGCTTTTTTGTTAGATACTATTACTATACAGTCTTTTAGCTCTGCTAGTATTATATCCTGAAGTATTGTATTATACTAGGAAGAAAGTATATTATTCTTTGGCTTATATTCATCTTGTAGTTTGTCTATTCTTAGTCATTATTAGGGTTTGGATATGTCTAGTTTTTGAAGTAGTTTTTAATGTGTTCTTGAATTAAGTAGGGATTTGTAACTACTTCTTCAGGTATTACTATATTTTGGAACTGTATATAGTCTGTATGTCTTGTAGAATACTATCTATTATCTTTGTTATATTAACTTTGAAGTTATCATATCTGTTTTGGATATATCCTTGTATTTTATTCTGTAAAGCAGTATTATTTTCAATTCGCCTTGCTGTATATAGAGATTTTCTGTATATTTCAAAATTCTGTATTGTTAGTGAGAAGTCATTTGTAAAGTCTATAATATTAATTTAATTAATATCTATATCAGCTAGCTCATTAATTAGTAAGATATTTTTGTTTATCTCTATAATGTGTTGCTATAGAGTAATATTTTTAAATGTTCTTAGGATTTTGTTCAAAATAGTAAGAGCTTTATAGATCTTTGATACAATTGGAGTATGTATATTAAATAACTGTAAGGTTTTAGATATGCAAGGAATATATTTTTTAGCATTTTGTATAATTACATTGCTAAATATTTGCTAAGCTATATTATGATGCATGATTTAAGTAATTGTATTCTGTAGTTTATCATCTTTAGAGATTTCTTTTGAGATATTTTGTATATAGTCTTGCTATTTTTCAGAATTCATCTCTTTATATTTGAATATCAGTCTTTTATTACCTCTTCTTTGTATTTTGTTTTTATTAAAAGAGGTAATGCACTATTCAATAGTTATCACTTTGTAATCACTTTCTGTTATTTCTTTTGTATTAATAATCTTTAGGAGTAAAAAGGTATTGAGAATATTTTGTGAGACAAATATATCATCAATTTGACTTGTGAGATATGATCTGTTCTATGTAGATATAGTAACTTTGAAGGTCTTTAATATACTCTAAAAGTCTGTTTTTTGTAATTTATGAAGTAATTTAGAAGTACTATCTTTTCTTTCTAGATTCAAATTGAAGTCCTCAAAGATTATAAGTTGCAAATTGTATCTATTTGCATACTCTATTCAATCAAGTATCTTTTGGTGAGTTGCATTTAGAAGTGCTATATTGTTAAACAGAAAGTAAATAGAGATAACCCTAAATTTGTTGTTATTTGGTAAAAACAGATTAATTGCGATAGATATATCAGAATAAGATATAATATTATAAATATATGTTGAAGAAAGTTTTTAATTGCAATTGTAGTACCCATACTAGCTTCATGCTTTTGTACTTTGTCAATAGTTGTATTAGATGTAAAAACTTGGTAATATGAATTATTGAGAGTATATTTAGTGAATTTTGATTGTGTTAGTTTTGTTTCAGTAATACTAATAATGTCTATGCTATTTGTATTACAGAATTTTATCTATTGTTAAAATTTAATACTATTATTCATTCCTTGTATGTTGTATGTTCTGATAATTAGAGAAGTAGTATGTTGTTTAATTCCTAATAACAGTGATTCAATAGTCATTAGTGTTATTAAAGATCTCCTAAAAAGGTTCTGGAAGTAAAGGTAGTTTAAATAAGAATTCAGGAATATTCTTAAAGTTGAAGTGTTGATACAAGAGATCAAGTATTAGTATAACTGCTGTTTGTTCTGTAATTAGTAATAGGATATTTGCTGTATCTACTTTTTTTGTTCACAGATAATTATGAATAGCTTCAATAGTTTATAGAATTTCTATTTTGCTTTTAGCAACTTTGTCTATTTTATTTGTTTCTGCTTGAAGATCTATTCAGATTTCTAGTAACTTAGTAAAATAGTAATACTGATGAAGCATTTTTGCTATTTCTTCTACTAGTTTAGATGATATAATAGATAAGGTAAGATTGAAGTCATCAATTAGGCTTGAATCCTTTGGAAGCCAAGATTTGTTTGTTGAATTAGTGACTATAATTGTATCTGGTAGTAGTAGATTATATTGATAATATGGCCTTGTTTCTTGTACAAATTTCTTTGCCTCTATATTATTTTCAATAGGATAGCTAAAAGTAGTACTAGTTTTAATCTTTGAAGTATCTAAAGGTAGCCTTGGCTTTGGTTTGAAAAAATTATTAGAAATTTGTTTAAAGGAATAATATTCTTTTAGCCTTTTAATAACTTCAGAGAGTAATATATTTAGCTCTGATAAGTCTAATAAAAATAAGCATCTAACTCTTGAATTGAGTTCTTGGTAGGCTAGAAGAAGTGACTTCTTTAGTTTAGAGAGATTGAAATATGAAGTAGAAATTCTCTTTATTTCATAATGATCTTGTAGTTTTTTTTTATAGTAAGAGAGATTTCGTAATTCTTTGTAACTTGTTATTGAGAACAGATCTTGTAAAGCTAGAATCAGATTCTCAGACTCATTTGGTAGAGGTAGAAGTACCTTGAAAAAACTGTTTAGTAGCATTTTAAATTTAAAAAAGGCATAGAGGCAGATAACAACTGCTCTTGTTTCTATGCATTTAGTAATAGGTAGCTTGAATAGGAGGTCTTTACTAATTTCCTTAGGTATTAGTTCTAGCAATTCTAGAAGATCTAGTAGTGTTACTTCTATTGCTTAACTAATTAGTCTCCTTAGCTTAGCTAGGTCTAATAATGTAGCATCTTTCATAAAACCTTTGCAGTATCTAATTAAGCTATAGATTTTGCCTACTGAATAAGCTCTAAACTCTGCATTTGTTAAAAAATTTATAGCAAGTTTTTGTCTTAGTTTTGTGTATATTAAATCTTTAGTAAGTTTGTCTGTAATCATAATATCATGCTGTTGTTTGTATCTGTTTAAAGCTTGAGTAAACAGCTATTCATATTGGATTTAATAAACTAGTTTTGAGTATTTAGTTCTAGTAAACATTGTGAAGAAAGCTGTATTTTTGTATTTAAATTTAAGTGCAATTGCTTGAGGAATTATGTATTGAGTTAGTTTTGTTTTAAGCTTATACTGTATAAAGCTTTTAAGATCTTCTTGTATGGTTAGGTTCTGTAGAATCTTGTCTGGTATCCATTCTTGATAGTTAAATAGATCTAGCTCCTTATTTACTAGATTCTAATTAATGATTTCTATTCATGTGTTTGTATTATCAATATTTATGAGTTTGTTCTACACTCTATCTGCTTGTAGTGTATAGCTATATAACATATATTGAGTTAGAGTTTCTGAACTAATTTTACCAACCCAAAATTCAGAGAATTAGATGCATATGCAAATCATCGTCATGTTTATTCATTATTACGGTATGTGATGATCAACTAATAATAAATTGTCAAATAAGTTAAACTTTGAGCTAAGGTTTCTTAACAACTACCTAATAAATTTTGATGAATCTTTTTTATTTGAATTCTGCAAATATGTAGAATTTGAATAAAAAAATTTTAATCGAAATTGGTAATGTGGTTGTTGAGAAACCTTTGCTCAAAGTCAAAACAAATCTATCCTATCTATAAATAATCAAGTGATTCTTGAATTTTTTTTAAAACTTTGAGTGAAGATTTCTCAACAACCATCTAACCAATTTCAATAAAAAAATTTTTATTCGAATTCTACATATTTGTAGAATTCAAATAAAAAATAAATCATCAAAATTGTTAGAAAGTTGTCAAAAAACCTTCGCTCAAAAGTTTTAAAAAAAAAAAATTTATATACTTTGTCAAATTTCTGTTAGATAATTCATTCAATAAAAGAATTTAAAAATAGCAACTGCGAATTTAGTCTATGATTTACTATCGCTATGATTAATTGCAGGTTTTCACTCATATCTATCTATTACTATAGCAATAATAGTACAATTGTTTTTTTTTTTTGTACAACAAATGCTTTATTTGTCACTGCTGAAACTTAGAATATTTTACACGCATAAAAACTAGAAATATTAAATTATATGAGAACACAAATGTTAAGTAGTTTATTTTAAAATTAGTATTATTTGAATAAAATAAATTAAGAAAGCAAATTAATGAATTCGGTATAAGAAATATTTCAGGATTTTTGAATAACTTTAGAGATGTGCGCGAGTAAAATTAAAATTATAGCAATATCTGTTTAAACTATTCATTTGTCCATTAATTTTATATTTATATATCTTAATTTATAGTCATGTGAAATATATAAATTTAAAATAATTATTTAAGAACTATAATTGGTATCATTTTAAGCAATTTTTCATTATTCTTAGCAAAATCAAACAAAAAATTTAATTGTCAAATATTTGATCAATTGAATATCAAATAGCTGACTTTAAATTAAAATTATGTATCAGTATAATTTGATTTAAAGTCGCTATTTGATATTCGATTGATCAAATATTTGATAATCAAATTTTTTGTTTGATTTTAATTGTTCATAAAGCTTTTTTTATTTATTATTCTTTTTTTACTTTTGTTCCTTTATTATTGCTTTATTATTCAGTCCTTTACTCGCTTTTGTAGGATTGCTGATGTCATTGTTTTTTTTCTTGTTCTAGTAGAAAAATTTTGGTATTTGACATTGCAATTGTTGTTCTTTTTTGAGGGGTTATTTCCTCATATATAATATCTACCAGATTCTGTGCTTCCTTAAAGGAGTCCAAGGCTACAATATTGCAAAGGTAATTCATTAGGGTATATTGATTGTTAGGTTCTTGCATTAGTAAATATTCAGGTTGAGTTAGATTCTAGAGAAATTTTGAATTTTCCTACAGTGTTTGCAGGTTTCTTGATATAGACATCAAGAAATTTTGAAATTCTTGTTTATAGATAGCAGCAATGTTTAAACTAGCAATATTGACTATACTAGGTGTAGGTTTTTTTGGCTCAAGTATATTGTCAAAAATTTGCTGCTCAATATAATTAAGAGCCTCTCTGGATGAAGTAGATCTGAGGTTAAAATCATTATTATTATTTTTTTTTTTGTCATCATCATCAATGTCCTCTTCACTTTTATTATCTATCTCATCGCTATTATTGCTACTGTCTTCTATTAAACTTGTTGATTCGTTGGCATTTTGAATCTTTCTTGCTTCTTGATAAGTCAAAAAAACTATTTTAAGTAAATAAGCATATTGTTTTTATTCACAAAGTTCTTCAATATACAGGGTTGCAGTATAGCGATACTTACAGATTATTCTATTCTGAAAAAAGTCAAGATATTAGCAGTGAATGTCTTTTGGCTATCCGTATATACAAGTAGTATAAACGAGGTTTGTAGTTTTAGATTCAACTTGAACATAGATTTTTCCTGTTATTTTTTCAATCTCATAATTTACTACTTTTTTCATTTATAGTAGCCTTTTTGCAGATTCATCTCTATTCAGACTCGGAAATAGATATGCAACTTGAGAAAACTCTTGTATAAGAGTCTTACAGTCTAAAGGATCCATTATATTTAATTCCTTTCTTCTTTCTGCTTTCTCATATTCAAGATCTATAGCAAGCTTTCGTAGTGTTAAAATGTTAGGTATAACTTCATATACAAGGACAATGTATAGTATATCTGCTCTTAGGAGGCAATTACTTTTTTGAAATCAGCCTAATTGATTATTTTTCAAATATTGATTCATCCCTTCAAAGTGATTATTTGTTGTAGGAAGTTTTGTAAGGGGAATTCCAAGAGCATTCGCAGCTCTTGTTTATCTATTAAGGCATCAACTATATAGAAGGTCACTAGCCCATTGTTTTTTCAGATAATTTAGAAACTTAACTCCACTATTCAAGAGATTTTTTAAATCTTTTGAAATATTTTCTGCTTTATAAAGACTTTCTAGCAAATTTTTTTTTTCTTTGATAAAATCTCTTACTATTTTTTTCTCACTGTCTATTTCCCAAGTTTCTTTTAACACACTTTATAGATATGTCTTCAGGTTTTGTTGTTGTAAAACTATATTACTTCCACTACCTCGACCTAATTATTTACTGATTTTATTCTTCCAACATTAGCTAATATGGAAGTAACAGAGAAGCAAAATGATTCCTAGCCACACTATCGCTAATAGTTTTCACTCTTTTATATCAGTATTAGTTATTGCGATGAGAGGAGTAAATATAACTGAAGTAGCATTTGGATTTGTTATAAGTTGGTTGCGGTTATAAATATCACTAATTTTATCTCTAAATATTGTAAAAAGACATTCTAGGATCCTACTATCATATCTAGAAAAAGTAAGCCAATTATTTGAAGATGGTGTAAAAAAAATAAAGGCAATAGGAATGCCTTTATTATTTTCATCAATAACCATTATAATGAATAAGAGTAATTTATGCTTGCTAATTCCAAAGGTTCCATCAACAAGAATAAGGTTTTGGTATCCATACCTCCATACATATTCTTGTTGTTCATGATTACAAATAATAATTTTCAGACGATCTGTTTCTTTGGTATGTAGTTGATAATACAAGCATGCATCTTTAAGTTCTGACTGATCTGCATTTTGTCTAAGAAATTGATCTAAATTTTTTGTAGGATTTTTGTTAATATCAACATTCTAATTTTTTCTAAGCATTTTTTTTTTAATATTTGCAATATTTATCGCAGTGAGTAATGTTCTGGAATTTCTAATTAAAGTATATTTTCTGAATACATTCTTTACAGTTTTAGCATTAAGTGCAAGAATATTTGTAGTGCTTACATTAAGATTAAGTAAATTCTCAGCAATTGATCTTATATACGGCAAGAGTCTATAAGGTAAGTCATTCTGTGGTTGAGATATTTTACATAACTCTGAATGCTTTAAATATCCAGAAATTCCACAAATTTCACTATTACAAATATTAATTGTCACAAATGCAAGACATCCTACATAAAAGTAACATGCAGCCAAAGCACAAGAATTAGATATATTGGTCTTTTTACGATAGCTTCTACAAATATATTGTTTAACAACTATTGTCAGATTTGATTGTCAAATAGCCCACTTACATCGTATATCATCTGAACTGATATCAAGAGCATGTTTATGAAGAAATTGGTCATGATATACTATTTGTTCTTTATCAAACAGATTCTATTGAGTTTCAACTACTCCAGATGTACCATTATCTAACAAACTTTTAAGCTTATTTCTATTCTCATCATTTAACAAGAGTTTTGAATTTAGCTTTGCTTTTACACGTGGATTATAACTATCTCTTTTATTTGTATTAGCATTAAACTTTGAAGATGACATATTACAAGGAGTTGGAGATACTAGAACTAGGAAGGCAACTATAATGATAAGAATAAAAACGAAAATACTAGCATAGCAATATTAGGTGTACACAATAGGAAATGTATTTCTTTATACTTTTATTTTTATTTTTATTTCAAAATACATATTAATTATTCAATTTCTCTTTTATAGATGCAATACTATAATACTTTATCTAGATATTACTACATTATTACAACTAAATGACTACTTTGTTATATATACTATCTAATTATTACCATATTATTTTGTCATATGATTTAGACTTCAACTCCTGCACTATCAATTTTTCATTCATCAATCCACTAATTGTATGGAATATCGATCTATCAAGTGATAGTAATTTTAATTTAATGAAATTATTTTATTCACTAATGTTATGCATTAATTATTATTTGATTTACAGTAAATTTCCCTTCTCAAGCTGAGTAACTTACCTTCCACTCATTATACCAGATACATATTATTAATTTTCGGAGCAGAGTGGAGAAACAAAAGGCTAGACAATAGTGGAGTATTACACGTCCTATGATTTACAAACATAGTACAGCACTATATGATAAACACACTATGTAAGATTTTTGAAATTTTGTCAATCATTTTATAAGAAAAATTCAATATAGTAATTTTATAATAAAATCAGTGCATTTTTAAAATGTAATTACTTCTGTTCTAATGAAGCAAATTCAATTCTGTAACTTGTAAATAAAACATTAAGAATATAGTTTGAAAACTATATGAAGACATTTTTGAATTTATTTTATTAATTTCAATAATATTGTAATATAGTTTAAAACTATATCATTGAATTATCATTTACAATTTACAGAATCGAATTTTCTTTGCTAGTACAGAAGTAATTACATTTTAAAAATGTACTAATTTTATTATAAAATTACTATGTTGAATTTTTCTTATAAAATGATCGACAAAATTTTAAAAATCTTACATAGTATATTTATTATATAGTGCTGCACTATGTTTGTAAATCATAAGGTATGTAATACCTCAAGACAATAGGTGGAAAAAAAATTCTGAGTAGTGTCTGGGTGTAGAATATAGAAATTTTCTAAATTACTACTATAATCCCATTGATCAGAATTAAATCAGCATTGTAGTTAATAGTAAAAAAAAAAGAAAAACCTTATGTACAATTATTGCTCGGTAAAATCAAACATAAAAAATTTGATTGTCAAATATTTGATTAATCAAATATCAAATAGTGACTTTAAATCAAATTATATTGATACATAATTTTAAAATTATGTATTGATATAATTTGATTTAAAGTCGACTATTTGATATTTGATTGATTAAATATTTGACAATCAAATTTCTTGTTTGATTTTGTTGAGAACTATGTACAATTGCTTAGAACAATACTAATTATAGTTCTTGAATAATTGGCTGGAGCGAGTAGAGCGAAGTGAAAGCTATAAAAGTCTTATTCTATAAAATTTTAAGATATCTGGCTCCCAGTTCAATTGATTCTAATTTAGATTCAGTATTCAGAAATTGAATCTAAATTGGGTTTAATATCTGGATACCAAAATCTTAGTTTAAAATATAGATAGTAAAACAAAGATTGTAATTTAAAATTTTAATTAATGTAAATAAAACAAGTTAATATTAGTTTAAAATATACAAATATACTATTGCTATCATTAATATTTAATTAACAAAATTATACTTTCGAGCATAATACATCAATAAAGTAACTATTTTATGAATACTTATTCATATTAACTTAAATCAAAAAATATATCAGCAACTATTTATCGATATTAAATATTCGAACCAAAACTAAATCAAATATTAATCACTATATCGTAAAAATAAAACCAATTCTTATTATTAGAAATACACCTTCTGAGTACTATAACTAATATTATATCAGAATTAGGAAGAACTTTACCTTCACTGTCTATAGTAATTCTGGTTGAAATGAATAATTATACGGGTCCAACACTATCTATATTAATTCGATCTATTAAATACACTTCGGAAGGAAAAATCAGGAACTTACTCTCATATATGGTTTTCTTTATGTTATAATTCATAAATTCTAGGGGTTGATATTACCGCAGGCTATAATAAATCTTGAAAATAAGGAATTTTCAACAGGTCTTATATTTGTAGAATATCAAGGATCCATACTCTTAACTATTAATGATCTACTTTTCGATAATACAAAAACTAAAGCAAAATATACGTTTACAACAAAATATTAATGGAAGAACAAGGATTATTTTCATAATAAATTTATTATAAAATGTAATTAACTATTTTAAATTTATTCATAAAATTTAAAAATTATTTTAAATTATTTCTAAATAAAATGTAAAATTTAAAATTAAGGCTCTAGCTTATAAACGTCACCGTTTTCTAATTACTTTAAATTTATATATTTCACACGACTATAAATTAAGATACATAAATATAAAATTAATGGACAAATGAATAGTTTAAATAGATATTGCTATAATTTTAATTTTACTCGTGCATATCTCTAAAGTTATTCAAAAATCTTGAAATATTTCTTATACCGAATTTATTAACTTGCTTTCTTAACTTATTCTATTCAAATAATAATAATTTAAAAATAAACTACTTAACATTTGTGTTCTCATATAATTTAATATTTCTAGTTTTTACACGTGTAAAATATTCTAAGTTTCAGCAGTGACGAATAAAGCATTTGTTATACAAAAAAAAAAAATAATTGTACTACTATCACTATAGTAATAGATAGATATGAGTGAAAACCTGCAATCAATTATAGTGATAGTAAATCATAGACTAAATTCACAATTGCTATTTTTAAATTCTTTTATTGAATGAATTACCTAACAGAAATTTGACAAAGTATATAAATTTTTTTTTTTAAAACTTTTGAGTGAAAGTTTCTTAACAACTTTCTAACAATTTTGATGATTTATTTTTTATTTGAATTCTACAAATATGTAGAATTCAAATAAAAATTTTTTTATTAAAATTGGTTAGGTAGTTGTTGAGAAATCTTTACTCAAAGTTTTAAAAAAAATTCAAAAATCACTTCATTATTTATAGGTGGGATAGATTTGTTTTGACTTTGAGCAAAGGTTTCTTGACAACCACCTAACCAATTTCAATAAAAATTTTTTTATTCGAATTTTACATATTTGCAGAATTCAAATAAAAAAGATTCATCAAAATTTATTTAGTGGTTGTCAAGAAACCTTAGCTCGAAGTTTTAAAAAAATTAACTTATTTGACGATTTATTATTAGTTGATTATCATATGCTGAGATAATAAATAAACATGATGATGATCTGCATATGTATCTAATTCTCTGAATTTTGGGTTGGTAAAATTAGTCGAGTTTCTGATCAAGATGTTCCTCCATAGTTGAAGTTAATTGAAGATCTGTATCAGGTGCTAGACTTGACTCATCAGTTGTCTGATCTATATTACTATCTTGATTTGAAGGTACCTATATAGTATTATTGCTATTTATAGTAATTTATGCTGTGTTATTACTATTTATAGTAATCTGTATATTATTATTATCAGTAATAATATTGGTCATTTTGTTTTTTTCTACACTATACTTGTTTATTATTATACTACAGATTACATGTTGTGTTGTACTTTTTGTTAGGAGTAAGCTATTTTGCTCATTTTTTGTATTATCCAAAGTAGCTAGTAGGTTAAATCTTCATTTCTTTGTATTTAGAGAGTTTGGTTTTGAGATTTTTTCACTACTAGATAGTTTAGTAGTATCCTTACTAGAACTAGCATGGTTGTAGTTATCCATAGAACTATTTTTAATAGTAGTAGACTCTATAGAAAATTGAGTTGAGTGGTAATAACTAGTATTATCCTCCAGAGGAAGATAGTTCTCTTTGTCATTGTTATTTCTTAGTTTTCTTTTTATTTTGAGTAGTTATATATGAAGTAAGAAGCCTAATAGCTGTTTTTAAGCCAAGTTAAGTGAGTCTTTTGTATAATTAACTAACAGTTATTTGGTTTTTCAACAATTTTCTTTTCTGTTTATTTTTGTAAAATAATCTACGGGAAAGAGTTTTTTTGTATCTTTATTCTTTTGTTTGAAGCTAATGCTAGTATGTCATAATTTTTATAAAAGAAATATAAGATGTTACAAAAATAGTTGCATTATATATATTTTTTATACTTTTCATACTTATACTACTTTGCTTCAAATAATAGCTCTATTTATAATAAATTTTTATATATATAGATTTTTGTAAACAGATATTATGTACTCATATGAGAATATTTGATTAGAGCAGGGGTTACAATTGAAATTTATATTTTCTTACTTTGTAGCCACACAAATAAGTTAAGTTCAACGCACTTCCTTGTACAATGATGTATATTAGAAGCTTCAAATAACTTTTATTGGAATTGGACTTTCTAATTCCATCTAATTCTTCAGTATTCAAATAAATTTATTCAACATATATATCTATATGCATTGGAAGCTTCCAATAATTTTATTGGAATTGAAGATTTAGAAGCCCAATATGCTTCTAACTTTCAGTGCATATTACTGCACTTGCAGAATGCCTTATCTAGATAATCTTATTCAACTATAAGGACAAAAAATATCACTTTACACATTTTGTTTTTGGGCTATTGCTAGCTGATAATTTAGGCTAAAGGTAAATTTACTAATTTAATATAAATTGTAAATGAATCAGCTTAGCGTGATACATGAAATTGGTCAGAACAGCAATGACATCCCAAAATATTAAACAACAGAATTGCATTGGGAGTTGGCGTAGAATTGAGCTAGTTGTTTCCTATCTGCCAGCTGCAATTTGGGTTAGACTAGGTGAGTCATGAATTTGATTTTTGAGGGTTTCAAGTGACAGGAGAAGCTTTGATATTTGCTTCTTTAGTGCTTTCTATTGACTGAAGCTTTTCCTTTGCATTCATCATTTGCATGTGTTGTTTCTTTCCTTTCTCATGCCATTTTATCACATGAGTTGGGTTGCATACAATAAGATGCTGTAATAGTTGTTTCCAACTCTTTTGTTCATGTGATCTACTATATCTTATACAATAACACAAATTTATGTATAAAAAACCTGTTATGATATAACCTGTGTGAGAAATATTAGCGTTAGTGTTTGTAACATGTGAATATTACATATCTGAGAACATAAGGAGCCAATGATTTTTTGCATTGCTCGGAATTTGTAAATATTGCAGAACTGCTACGAAAATATTTGTTTTTTATTTTATTTTTTTTGGGTGAACGGTAAGAAAATTTTTAATCAAAGATTGCAGAAACCATAAGAATACACATACCATGGAAACCGTGCAGAATGACCATAAGTTTAAGATAACTAGATTGCCACTTTCAAATAAACTGTAAATTAAAAAAAAAGTTTAAATTAACGATGATCTATAAATATTTAATACACCTGGCTCGTTTTAAGTATATGTTATGTCATTTTTAAATTTCACATTAAAGATTTTTGTTTGTTATCCATTTTATGGGTTGTTTAAAGTCTAATACCTCACGAGATTACATATTAGTAATTCGGATTAATCAAACAAATCAAGAGACACATAAAAAAAAAAAAGGAATTGGTCTTGAAACCATTAAAAAGTGTTGTAAATGCGGTTCTACTTATAAATTATACTGCGCCCCTTACTGTAATCTAAAGTTAACCTTAATCTTAATATTAAGAGATATTGGCTTTAAGAATTCTCATTTTAAGTAACATTTTTTGGGATTAGGGATGTTAAATAGTTCGTCTGGTCTGGTTTTCCATTTGGAACTTGAAAGTTTAAGTTCAAACTAGCTAGTTCAAGTAGTCCATTATGTCATTCGGATTAGTATTCAAACCTTGACAAAGTGCATATTATAACAGATAAAGTATAAACAATTGTATATTAGATATATATACATGTATAAATCATCGCGTATAATATCATATTCATTTATCTGTTATAATAATAAACATATTACAAGTCATTCTCATTATAGTGAACTCTCAATATAATGAAGACTAATTAAAATCTCGATATAGTGAAGTTAAGCTCAAAGCCAGTGTATATATAAAATTCTCTTGATATAGTGAATTTAAAAAGTTTTTATTAATGGAACGATCACTTCACTATAACGAGAATGACTTGTATTTATATTTATTCATGTTTTTGTTTTTACAATAAGTGCTACTAGAATACTTTGGGTATTACCAAAGAGGATGTACATTCTTCAAATCTACTACTGTATCAAGATTCAGTCATAACACCTTGTTCGTTATTATCAAGAGATCCTTCACATGTCATGCACTTGGAAAGTTTTACTCATTTCATCATTATTAACATCAACTATTTGTAGAGTTTTTTCATTCGTTTCGCTTTATTTTTTGAAAAAAAAAGCTATATATCATTGGGTAATTCTATTTTGACCCGGGTCAAAATAGAATTACCCTATATCATTTTTTTTTCATTTTATTTAATTTATCAATTTTCTTTACATAGTACTGATATTTTAAATTTTACAGTTACGTCACTCTAGTTATACTGTACTGACACAAGGCAATGCCTACCAGGAATTTTGGATGCCACTAATCTATTCACTAGAACCCACAAATGATTTTCGGTACACCAGAGGATATAACTAGATACTGTACCATTTTAAAAAAAAAAGGTATGATTGAGGTGTTTAATCAAAAGGGATATACATAATCCAATAGAGAAGTGAAGATTTTTTTTAAACAAATATAATAAATATCTCGCAATACGTATAATAAATTAACTAATCATATTAAAGAAAAAATTTAAAAATAAAAAAATATCTCGATATAGTAAAGAAATTTTTAATAACTTAATAAACTTTACTATAAAAAATATATTTCTCTTTATATAATAAAAATTTATTATATCAAAAGCTCTTGAGACAGTAAAGAAATTTTTGCAGCCCAAAAACTTTACTATAACAAAAGTGACTTGTATAATCTTTATAATACACAAGTTGTAATTCAAAATTTAATATTTTACACCTAAATTCTCATTAAAGAACTTAACACTAATATCAATAACTTCGTTTACATATTTAGCGTTAACTGGATCCTCGAAATTACCCTTGGCTCCCGCGAAACCATGCGACGCATCAAATCTACGATGAATGAGTTTACTGCCAAATGGCTTGCTAGTAAGAACCGGATTTTTAAAAAATTCATTTTCCTAATAAAAAAAAATAATTCGAAGAATTATAAAATTTCTTTTAATAAATAATTTAAATATTTTATTTATAAAAAAAGTAACGAGAAACTTACAAGGTCAGGTTCATCTCTAGAAGGTAAAAAAGCGATAGGACATTGACTTTCCTTAAAATCATCAAGTTTCAACATTCCAGGATGAATTAATATACAAGCATCAAAATTTGGATCTTTGGATTGTTTAGATGCAATCATGCCACCCCAACAAAATCCTGCATATCCAAAATTCTGAACTTTATGTTCATTTCGAAGATGTTCTACAACTTGAGTAGTGAGTTGATAAACTGTTTCAGGAGGTGCTGTTGCATTTAACCATTCAATAAGTTTATTTCTATAATTGAATGATTTGGTAAGATTTGTGAGATAATTTGGTTGAAAAGGTAGCAACATTAGAAGGTTAATTTATAAGTTCAACAGATATTAATACCTAAAAAGAATTATATTTATTTGAATCTCACCTGTTGATGCCTGCGTCAATCTTCCAAGGATTACCTCGAAAATAATCGGGCATCGCAACAAAGAAACCTATTAGGATTCGTTCGACAAATTATATTTTACTACTTTTTGACAAAAAATAACGACAAAAAAAAAAAAAAATTTAACACTAACCTTGAGATGCTAATAAATCACAAATTTGCTTTACATTTTCATGAAACCCAAAAATATCATAACAAATTATAATTGCATTTTTAGTCTGAGCTTCGGCAAATGAGTCAGGAACCGCACAATAGACCTCTATACCGGCAATATTTGTAATTTCACCCTTTGGTGAATAATTACTTTGCACTGGAGGAATTGTTCCACAGGATGAAGCTAAAGACATTTTGCCAAGATCTCGGTGAATTTTTTTGTTGCGATTATATATTCATAGAAGACTCTATGATTGGCTATTCGTAAATGCTATTTTTGTAAAAATTTTTTAACGTTAAGCTTATATTAAGCTTTAAAAGAATTATGAATTAATATTATAAAATTGGGTGTATTAAATTTACAATCGAATATCGATATACCAAAAAAAAAAATCACAAACCATATATAGTTAATTTAATTTTTTTTTTTCATAATATTAAAGTTACTCGGCCTTTCATTTTTTATGAGTAATTTTAACTTAGTTTCGATATCTCTACGTATGATGCTAAAACCAACTAGCCAACCAGGTTGCATATTAGTCTTGTTTCACTATTTGAGTCTTGTATAACGATAATGATATACACAGTCGCGCTTTTTTGCTTCATTGTATCGACTTTGAATATATTAAAACCTGTTTTATACCAGAAATGCGATTATTTAATGAACCTGATTTGGTATAATTAACCCAACGAATTCTAGGTATAACAATATATATAGATATAGATAATTTTTTTATTTTATTTTATTTTTTTTTTGCCTCTTTTAAGAAAGAATTGTTTTGTATGTACGTAACTTAAGTAATTACAGTATCGTTTTCATAGATTTTGGATAAAAAAAATTGATCAGAATAATTATATACCGATTTAAGATATTTGTATTCAACTTATCATACGTACAGTACAGTACATGACATGTTAATTCTCTCAATGAGTGACTTGATTGGCTGAATGATAAAAAATTGATGCAAGTTTTTTTGAACGGCGACAATATAAATTATTAAATATACCACAACTTACATAAATCGTAACCAAATATGGAGCAAGATCTTCAACTTAGGGAAAACTTGGCTACTATCGGAGGATTAGTAACAGGCTTACTAATTTTTACCAAGAACTCTTCAGGTACGAAATTGAAATGAGAAATAACTAATGTATTTGTATAAAATAATACTAACGCTAATAATAATAAAAGGTGGTGGGTCGGAGGGTCCGGATGCCCTTTATAACGTACAGAAATTTATAATCAAGTACAAATTTAGATTCCATGTGCAAAACGAAAAATCAACTTTGCATGGCCAAACTCAACTTTATGTTTACAAATTGGTGCCGTATGATTGATAGCTCTCCCCAGTTTAGAGTGATTTTAGGCTAAATTAGTTAATTTCGGCCTAACCGACCGGAATTTCGATTCTTCCGACCCGGAATTTTAGGACCTCCGATAAATATAGCTACGTAATGACCAGAATTAGAATTTTAGGGTTGGGTTTAGAATTTTTTTTTTTTTTTTTTTTTTTACCATCCTTACCTCGCAACAAAAATAACATAATCTTATTCTGCGAACCATCATTAAACGAAATTAGATATTAAAAATGGATTTAAAACCTTTAACTAAATCAATGGTAATTATTATAATTATATTTTATATATTTTTGATATTTAAAGTTTAATTAATGAAATCTTAGCCCGTTAACCAAGATAAATTAGAAGTATCAAAGATAATGTTTGGTACTTCACTATTCAATGGAATATTTGATAATGTTGAAAAATGTTTACCTTTTGAAGCTGTAACAAGGGCTCTTGAGCTTGGTATAAAAGAAATTAATAAAATCCTATTTTATTTCATGAAATTATACTTGGGTGTTTAAATTAATTTGTTTTTTTTTTCATAAAAACTAAAATAGACAATATTTATAAAAAAGTTGTTTTGAGATGTACTTTTGGCAGGGAGATAATTTGTCGAGAATAATTTCTAAAAGGGGGGATATTTTCACCAAATATGAAAATGTTAAAAACATTTCATTATGCTATCGTCTATAATTTAAACACCCATGTATACTTAAATAATCCTTTATTTATATTTTATATAATATATATATATATATTCACATTTTTTAGGTATAAACGCATTTGACACAAGCCCATACTATAATAATAGTGAACTGATACTCGGTTCAATTCTCTTATCTCTCCATGATAAATATTCACGTTCTCATTATTATCTAATTTAAAAGTTGGAAGATATGGTGTAAATAAAAGTGACTTTGATTACTCTCCAAAATGTGTTCGTGAAAGTATTGAAGAAAGTTGTAGACGACTAAAAACTGATTATCTTGATGCAGTATATGCTCATGATGTAGAATTTGTAGATATTAATGAGGTTGTTGGTAATAATGAGGCTTCGTCAGAGTTGTTCAAGTTGAAGGCATGTATTATTTAAATTGATGAAAATAATTTGTATGATTTCTCATTTATAATTTATTTATTCATAATTTAGAAAGGAAGAAAAATTAGATATGTTAGAATTTCTGATAAGAAATTATCGATATATATAGAGAGAATTTATCAATAAGGATAATTTCATCTTACAAAGATAAATTCTTAATTTCTGATTGTATTGATATAATAGATTTTTAGATAAAACTAAGAATTCAATATTAAGTTTCCTCATTTACATTAAGTACTCTATATATTTTTTCTATTATTTATTCTAACATATATATGCATTATTAAGGATACCCATTAGATATACTTCTCAAAATAGCAACAATCCAATATAAACATAACTAGCCACTTGCCATTATACAATTCTATTCACATTATTGTATTCAAAATACATTTCTTTCAACATACATTTCAAAGTTTAAAAATGTTGGAGTAAAATATTTATGGGCTTATTAATTGAAACTTTACTACCAGAATGGTATCCAGCACTTGCTAAATTGAGATTAGTTATTTCTAAATGTGCATTATACGCAAAAGAAAATGGATTTAACATTTCTAAGTTGGCCATATAGTACTCATTAGAATGGGATAGCGCAGATAGTACTGTAATTGGAATGTCAAATAGGAGACATGTCGAAGAAGCTGTTGCATTATTTAATGAAATTTCAGACCAAAAAAAGAGTAAAAAAATGTTGATAAGATGAGCCAGATGATTATCTAAAAAATTCAAAGTATAGATGATTGGTTCAATTGGAGTTAGGAATCTCCTTCAAAAGAATGTTAATGCTTTTATTTTGAATGCAAAGATAAAATACTATAAATTTTAATACTTTGATAAAATTACTAAATAAAGTTTCTATTTTACTTAATGTTCATAATTTTAGTATAATAATTAGGAGAATTTACAAATAAGAGCCCAAAAATACAAAATAATTATATATAGGAGCTCTATTTAGCAAATTTACTCTATTTCATAATACCATAAACAAAATTTAATGATTTTAATACTATTCAAATTGTCTTATTGAGATACATTAAATAGTACCAAAATCACCAAAGTTTTTTTTTTACTTTATACAAATGTCATCAGCTAAAACTTTTATTAGTATTGATAGTAAGTAAATGATACATATTGTGAGAGTACAACTAGCCATATGTATAACATTAGATTGTCTAATTTAAGTAGTTCACCTGAAGGTTCTACACTAGTTGCTATACCTGCAACCTATTTGAAGATTACCTATTTAAACCCTCTGGCCCTATGACATTTACCTTATCTGTAATCTATCTTTATTTTACCAAAGTTCGCCTAACCCTACACTATTTCTCTTTTTGGAAGATACTTGAGCTGACATTAGTCTACAAACTTTATAATTCAGAATTTAGGCCCTATCACAAGATACCTCTTCACCAACTCTCTAATTGATAGGGTGTTGTAATACCAAACTATGCTATACTATATCACAATTTAGCTTGCATATACTCTTGTTCGATGTTTATACAAACCTAGTTCCTACTATGGTTTTCCACTAGGTTAGTTATTTATACCTCTAGATATCACACAAGATAGGCCCTTCTAAATCTGGTTACCACCCAAATTGGTGTTGCCAAAAGTCATCTGTGCCTCCAGATATCATATGGAACAGATCTTCCCAAATCCAGTTAGCTGCTAAGCCAAGTTAGTATTGCCATACAACCTCATGTAACAGACTTATGCACACTTATTCTGCTGATCTTTTTGTATGCAGATTTTCTAACAGACTTACTTGCATCCTAGTTGTCAATCTTTTCATATACAGATTTTCTTTCCTAGATCAAATGTTAACTAGTATATCTATTGAAATCTATACTATATCACCTAACTCAGGATTTCTGCCATACAGGTCCCCTGTTCATAGATCCTATCAAGATTTATTCATATAATATTATGTTGCTCAGGCACTTCGTCACACTTCTAATATCTGAATGATATTAGTACAACATAATTTACAGAGTTACAACTCCAAAAACAGACAAAGTTTACTGTAAATTAGATATAAAGGTCTAAGTAATTATTCAATTCTGTCGATAGTAGGATTTGAACTCTAGACCTCTTGTATGGTGGTCTGACAACCTAACTACTATACTAAGATCACTAGACCTACTAAAGTTTAATAGCTAGATTATGAGTTATTTAATATTTTTCTAAAGTCTGTTTAAATCATAATATCTTATTTCATCATTAAAATTTAGCAATTATAGTACTATTCGATCTGTCTTAATGAGATGATTCAAATAGTATCAAAATTGCTAAATTTCATTTATTATATTATAAGATATAGTAAAATTTGCTAAAATAAAACCCCTATATATAATTATATTTTATATTTTTAGGCACTTATTTGTAAACTCTTCTAAAAACTATCTACTTAAAATTTAATTAATAATAATATTATTAACTTAGTATATTACTTTAAATAAAACTGACTAGTTATTATAGTTTTTAAAGTACTATATTGAAGTTTTTAATATATTAATAAATAAAATTTAAATTTAAACTATTAAAGTGAATTAATTAAAGGTAGTGTTACAAGTGGTGTAGCCTTCTTAATATACCCCAAGTAACATAAGACACAGAAGGGGGACTCCCAATGGTGTCAAAGTGGAATGTTACATCACTGTGGCAGTTCGTTAGAGAAGTTTATTTTTAAAGCCAAAAGATCATATTTATTAAAGAACTAATAGAGAACTTAGAACTTT